CGCGAGAGGGAGCGAGAACGGGAGCGAGAGCGGCGCCAGCGGGAGCGAGAACGAGAAAGGGAACGGGAGCGTGACAAGGAGCGCCAGCGGCGGAAAGAAGAGTGGGAACGTGAGAGGGAGCGAGTGAAGAGAGATGAAAAAGACAGGCAGCACAGGGACCGGGACAGGGACCGAGACCGGGACAGGGACAGGGACCGTGAGAAGGAGAAAGAAAAACCAAAGCCCCGGTCCCCACTGCTACCAAGGTAAGTGTCTGCTGGAATTCAGACTTGCTATTTTAGTTGACGTTGTTTTAGCTGTGGATCACGAACCAGGCTCATGCCGATCACAGTGCAGAAGATCCCTGTTGTCCGCAACTCTTGAGTAAAGCGGTAGTTTCAAGAGGAAGGCAACGCTTTAAATGAGCCTTGCTGGCCACTAAGTGGAGCTAAAACATCAGTAAGAACTGGGTGTGCCTAACCTGACTCTGAAAGGAGGAGAGCATCTGTCCTGTAGGTATGGAGATGTTCGGCGTGTCCCTGTTCCCTTGAGGCTAGAGTACGTCTTGGGAGGTTGGCTGAGTCCCCAGTGCTGAGGGAGTCCTGCAGATGGTGGCGACTCCCTTTGAGGCCTTGACAAATGTCCTTTGGCAAGAACCAGGGCTGGTTTGGGAGTTTGTGGATAGCAAAAGCAGCTGGAGATTTATTAAGTAAAACTCCTAAAAGAGGCTAGAAAAGGTAAAGGCATTGTATGCCTTGAAATGAGTCTCTGCTGGGTGTTACGGTGGAATTGCAGCATGGAGTCAGGTTTTTTGCCTCTGCCCATTTTTTCTGAAAGTCCTGGTTCTGACCTGTGTGAAAGAGAAAATTGAACCAGACAGACTAAAAGTCTAGGAATTTCAAAAGCGAATCCTATTTTGTTTCTCTGTCAATTATTTAAGTACCGTGGTTTACCAGCGTACTGTGTATTAGGCATATTTGTAAAGCACTGTATAAATATCACAGCTGAATATAGAACTTGCCTTATGGGAATTTCTAATGTCGCAACATCTTTCGGTTCAGAATCGGAGAAAAG